CCAGGTTGATTACTTGAATTATTTGAACCAATTTCACTGGTTACACATGCATTATCCAGTTAGACCATTTCAACTGGCTGGATCATTTAAACCAGTTTGTCCATTTTAGATATTGGCATCATTTTAACAAGTTGGATCGTGTTAACCAGTTGCACCATTTTACTAAGTGAGATCGTTTCTTCCAAGTGGACCATGTCACGTAATTAAAATCTTTTCACCGTTTAAACCATTTTATCTTGTTTTGGCAGGTTGGACCATGTTAACCAGTTGCATCATTTTGACTGGAGTGAAAAGTTCCGTTCTTAACCCTAGCCCTAACCCTAACCCTAACCCGGGGCTAGGGTTAGGGTTAGGGTTAGGGTTAGGATAGCTCGCAGCTAGAGTTGGAGTTAATGCTTGGGTAGGGTGGGATTATGATTAGGCTGAGGGTTACAATTATTTCTGAAAACATCCAATTTTGTTTTTTGGTATTGTGTTTGGGTCTAAACTTTAACAACTACTTGAAAGTTTGCTTGAAATCAAAATATACCATTTTTTGCCAAAATAACTGCCAAAATGCGCAATTCGGGCCTTTTTATCAATTTACACTGGGTTTAAGCTTGGTTTTTGTGTTTTCCCAGACTCTTGCACTATTTTGCTGAGAACATTGTGTTTTAGCTTTTTTGAAGCGTTTTTAAAACTGAAATAAGCTTATTTTTGCCAAAAAAACAAACGTGTTATTCAGTCGAATTGAGTGTTTTTGTCAACTTTAGCGAAAAATTTTGCAAAAATGGTACATTTCTGCCGTATTTTGGAGTTTTTAGACAGATTTCGTCGCGATCTTGTGAAAAACATGTAGTTTCAAGCTAGTTTTCAGTGTTTTGGCAGTTATCTTGGCAAAAAATGGGTAAGTCAGCGCAATTGTTTTTTTTTTTTGGTTGTTAAGGTTTTTTTGCCCAAATTTTACTGAGAACACTGTGTATTAGCTTGTCTCCATTGTTTTTTCGCAGATTCTATCGCTGTTTTGCTGAAAACATAACGTTTAAGCTTGTTTGCATCGTTTTTGGTCGTGAAATAAGCTAATTTTTGCAAAAGGAACAAAAACGTGTTTTTCAGCCCAAATTGACATAAAGGATACAGAAGAACATTTGAAAGGCTCAGAGCAAGAACGACCCCTTGATTTTTCGGCCATTTTTGAAAGTGTTCAGAAGTAGTTGAATTTTGGCATGTGGACTTAGTTTTACTCGATATACACTGTTTTGGGTTTTTTTTCGCTGGTTTGCGCTTCGTTTTCGAGAAATAACGTATGCAAAAAACCTTGAATTTCGTAGCGGCTTTCCTTGAATGAAGCCGAAACAAAAGAAGCCTTTTGTTTCATCAAAACAATACAGCCCCCGAGAACTTGCATATTCATAACCAGCTTAAAGAAAGAGCATGTTTTTTGTTTTGAGTTTAAACACCGTTTAGCAAACGTAAAATATCCTTGAACAAACTCACGCTACGGCAGAATTGAAGACAAAACCAAAGATACGTTGACATAGCCAAAAGTTTATACGAAAACGCTCCTGTCGAACGCTTACGCGGAGTGCCGCCGGTTTATTTAACGATAAAATACGTGTAATCGAATGTTCTCGTAGCACAGTCGGTTAGGCTTTGGACTCACAGTCGGACGGTTGGTACAGCTCTTTTTTTAACAAATGTCTCTTTTTTCGCTCACCCTTTTTTTTCCTTCTCTTTTTCAACTCGGGAAGAGGTAAGCCATTTTTGAGAGTTTGATACGTTGACATCGCCAAAAGTTTATACGAAAACGCTCCTGTTGAACGCTAACGTGAAGGACTGCCGCAGTTTTATTTAACGATAAAATTTACGTCTTGTTATTGAATGTTCCTGTAGCACAGTCGGTTAGGCACTGGACTCGCAGTCAGGCGGTCGGTAAGGTTTTTTTAAGAAATGTCTTTTTTTTCCTTCTCTTTTTCAACTCGGGAAAAGGCAAAGCCATTTTGAGAGTTTGATACGTTGACATCGCCAAAAGTTTATACGAAAACGCTCCTGTCGAACGCTAACGTGAAGGACTGCCGCAGTTTTATTTAAACAAAGAAAGGGCGCGCGCTAAACAAACAAAACTGTCAGACATAGTTTGAAGCTACACTGGTTTGCAGATTTAATGAATGTAACCGAAGAAGTTACAATTCATAGACCCAACGTTTCGACACTCCTGTCTAGTGCCTTCATCAGGGGTGATCTAAACGCTGCAACGAGAGGTCCTTTTATATGATCACTAATTAGCGGCCTTTTTTCTGACGAGGTGTAAATAGGCGTCAGGAAGCAGACCGCCATCGTCACGATTTAAAGGAGCGTGGGCGGAGTTAATGTGCCAAGCCTCCAAACAAAGGCGCTGGTGGTAACGTCGATTAGTGGTGATAATTTTAGAATTATCCCACCCAATTGTATGGTTGGTTAGGCAAGTATGCTCCGATAAAGCTGAATTTTCCTTTTTGCAAAGAAAAACCGCTTTTTGGTGCTCTTTTAACCGTGTACCAAACTGGCGTTTGGTCTGTCCGATGTATTCGTTATCACAGTCATTGCAAGGAATAGAATAAATGGCGTCGGTTCGTTGTTCTTTCGTGACAGGATCCTTAGGTTTGGCGAAAATATGTCCCAAAGTCACCCTTGAACGTGAAAAGGATAGACATTTGCCCTTTCTTGATTTAAATGTGTTTAGAGGGGTTCAGGGTAATTTAGAGACAAGTGTCTACCGTAAACCCACTCACACCGACAAATACCTCGCTTTCGATTCTCACCATCCTATTTGCCACAAAAAGTCCGTAGCCAAAACTTTACTTAGGAGGGCTGATTGTCTACCATCATCACTCGATTCGAAGGCTGAGGAGAGGAAATATGTTTCCAATGTCCTTAAGGCAAATGGCTATACAAAAACTTTTCTCCGTAACTGCCAAAACCAGTTACAAATAGTAACGCTCTTGATGAAAGGGAACCAGCGACTGGTTTTGCTGTTATTCCTTACATACAGGGTGTTACTGAACCCATCAAGAGAATTTTTGAATAGCCACAACGTTAAAGTTGCTCAAAAACCTTTTCAGACTTTGGGGCATATTTTCGCCAAACCTAAGGATCCTGTCACGAAAGAACAACGAACCGACGCCATTTATTCTATTCCTTGCAATGACTGTGATAACGAATACATCGGACAGACCAAACGCCAGTTTGGTACACGGTTAAAAGAGCACCAAAAAGCGGTTTTTCTTTGCAAAAAGGAAAATTCAGCTTTATCGGAGCATACTTGCCTAACCAACCATACAATTGGGTGGGATAATTCTAAAATTATCACCACTAATCGACGTTACCAACAGCGCCTTTGTTTGGAGGCTTGGCACATTAACTCCGCCCACGCTCCTTTAAATCGTGACGATGGCGGTCTGCTTCCTGACGCCTATTTACACCTCGTCAGAAAAAAGGCCGCTAATTAGTGATCATATAAAAGGACCTCTCGTTGCAGCGTTTAGATCACCCCTGATGAAGGCACTAGACAGGAGTGTCGAAACGTTGGGTCTATGAATTGTAACTTCTTCGGTTACATTCATTAAATCTGCAAACCAGTGTAGCTTCAAACTATGTCTGACTGTCTACCTGGTTGCCGTGTGAACTTTAATATATTTTAAACAAAACTGTGTTGAACTGACTCCCTTTTTGACGATTGATTTAATCCAGTATAATTTGTAGGAGCGCGAGTAACGCTCGAAAAAATAAAACTTGTCCAAGCGGCACTAATAGTGTTGAGCGGCGTTTTATCAAGTTTCATTATCCTCGCACAACAAGCGTCCACGCACTTATGGAAAAAAAAGTAACAGAGAAAGGGCGCCGCGCTAAACAAACAAAACTGTGTTGAACTGACTCCCTTTTTGACGATAATGATTTAATCCAGTATAATTTGTAGGAGCGCGAGTAACGCTCGAAAAAATAAAACTTGTCCAGGCGGCACTAATAGTGTTGAGCGGTGTTTTATCAAGTTTCATTATCCTCGCACGACAAGCGTCCACGCACTTAACTGAAAAAAAAAAACTAACAAAGAAAGGGCGCGCGCTAAACAAACATAACTGTGTTGAGCTGACTCCCTTTTTGACGATAATGATTTAATCCAGTATAATTTGTAGGAGCGCGAGTAACGCTCGAAAAAATAAAACTTGTCCAAGCGGCACTAATAGTGTTGAGCGGCGTTTTATCAAGTTTCATTATCCTCGCACAACAAGCGTCCACGAACTTAATGGAAAAAAAAAACTAACAAAGAAAGGGCGCGCGCTAAACAAACATAACTGTTTTGAACTGACTCCCTTTTTGACGATAATGATTTAATTAAGCAAAATATCAAATTTACCCAATATCTGATAAAGTACAACACGCTTTTATAAGCAAATAATAATATGGAAGTTGAAGTCTAACGAAAAATTAAAAAAAGCTTTGCGCTACGTAGAAAAGTTAAACTTAATCAAATTTGTGCTGGAATAAAATTTATTTATCGCTGGTACACTTTCGTGTGGAACATCGCCCTATTAATTTAATTAGTGTGCTAAAACAAACATACAACGTTTTTCTCACGTATTAACTCGCGCTGGATGATTTTTATTCGCCAGTTTAAAAGTACTCTGCTCACCGTTTTCGTGTTATTCAAGCGTCCTCAAGCGCTTGGTTTGGAGAAAGCACCATTCTGATTCATACTGCGAAACAGAGACTTGTTGACATGCGAGCTATTTTTAACAAAGAGTATTATGTCACTCACGCAATTCTCCTCTGCTATTTCTCAAATTACAAGCGTGACTGCTGCATGAGTACCTTTTTTAGCTTTATGCATATAATTTTTCAAATTCGCTTCTCTCTTAGCGTGAAAAGAATTTTAAAAGTTTTTGTAAGTTTTCTTACACTGTTAAATAAAATATTTATATGCAAGTAAAATAAGATGTTCATTTATCCTTTGGTTCTGGTTCGGCGGCCTCCATGGTTAAGTAAAACTGGCGCTGGGGCTCAGGGACGAAGGCAGCTATTTGTTGCAGGTCTTCCAGTTTGGCTGGGACCACCTTCAAACGAGCAGGATAGAGGCGGCCGGATGTTTGGTTGGCATCTGTTTGGTGTCTGCGGCGCCGGATGTTTACCTTTTTCCAGGGTTCATCGGTGGAAAACCCATACCTTACCCAAACTTCGTCTGGATGGTGGACCATTTGGGTTTGCCCAGTGATAGGATCTTTCTCCTCTCCCCAACCAAAGTTTAACCAATGCGCGTCGAGGATTCGGACGCGCTTCCCATCCCGGTCCTTCGCTATCGGTTGGTACCTAGCAAGAATATTAACAATGGTTAAGTGATATGAAATATAAAAAGATCCATATGAGTCCCATTCTACAAGGTTTCCAAAGTTCATTGCGGCTTCATGGTTTTAAGAACAAGCATTGCGTGCCTTATTTTTATTTAGCTTACTTTAAATCCAGGAAATAGATGATATATTAAAAAAATTTTAGTGGAAATATCCGGAGAATTAAGTAATGATTTTCTTGTAGCACACCGCGAATATCGCACCCTTGAACTTTCACCCCCCCCCCCCCCTTATCTTTATAAGGCTTAGGTGCAAAAACAAGCTATTACCGGGATTTTTTTTTTTCAAAAAATTCATATTACAAAAACAAAGAGACAATGAGTGAAAATGGTCAACATATTAATTACCTTGAATATTGTTTTCATTTGACAACTCTGTGTCTTTGTCCTGTAGTTGAATGTCTAATGGTGGAAGAGGAGGGGGGACAACAAATGGATCATCTTCCATATCTTCATAATCCTTCTCAAAATCCCCTAATTCATACTTACCAGGAAAAGCAACACCAAAACCAATAGAAACCTCTTCCATGGTTTTGTCAGGACTAAATGGACTCACTCCTGTTCTGCATTTCTTAATTCCATCTTCACCTGTACCACTTACTCCAGATTCTTTGTCATTGCAAATATTCTCTTGACCCCTACATCTCATAGTTTCAATGGTGGAGCAACCAACTAGCCCAAGAACACTTCCATGGCCACCTTCTTCACAAGCTGGATGACAACTTTCTTGGGTACTGGGACAATTTTTAATGTCACATACTGGTTGAATTCCACAGGAAAGGCATATCCCTTAAGCTGAAATTCATTTCCAAGTTGTTGACAAATGCACTGAAAAAACCCAACACAAAGACACCACAGTCAAAAACATTCTGTCCTTGAGAAGGGAACTTTTCTCTTTCCTCCTGACTTAACCTTCGAAATAAAGAAATATCAATATTTGCAGCTTTGAATTCCCTGCACAAGACCTGAAAAATATAATCACTCCTTCGATCTTTACAAAGGGAGTCAAATTCCCCATACAACTTCATTGGCCTGTCTATTAAGACACACCACCAGTGACCAGGGCAATGAACAGGAAATACAAACTTTTCATACTTGTGAAAATCACACCTAAGCATTTCCTTAAGACCCAGCTCTTGGCTGCAGTGATTTAGCCAAAAGGTGCATGCCACATACACATCCTTTTTCTGACTCATTAAGAATGGACCAATGTAGTTGATCACGACATCATTTATTTGGTTACCTGGCTTGAGGGTACGAACATCTTTTGCTTTGACTTGTCCATGGAGTGTGGCAATGATGGTATCATCACTTATGGTACTGCTTAAATCCCACACCTCATCCAGTGTGCAATGAAAATTTGTGTGCAGCTTAACTTCTGGCAAGTCATTCACTCTCACAGGATTGCCATTAGTTCCAGGCCCTTGAAGGTTTACAGCAGCAAAATCTGGGTTCTGATATGCTTCTTTCTGAATGTAACCTAGGCCATCTTTAAGGGACAGTGGAAGAGCAGATGTCCTGCGACTATCAAGAAGTACAATTGCATCTGCTTTCAAGAGCAGAGTAACAAAGTGATATTCCTTTGTCCTCACAATGAGTGATGGTCTCTCATCTGCCTGGAACAATCCCAGAAGAAGGGAATAAAATTCCTGGAGACTGCTGGGGTCAGGGGAATTAATTGCAGCACCATCCACAAGTGCCCTCAAGGGTAAATCTAGTCTTTGAAATGTACAGTTCTTCCTAATTGCTGCCTCCTCCATTGCTAAAATACTGTAGTCACCATCAAGACCCTGCATAGGCTCTAAAGGTACAGAAAATCCACAGCCAACTTCACAAACCTGTTTTAACCAAATGATGTCTGCTGCCAAATCTAGGTCAAACAAATTGAAGATAGTAGGTCCTTTCCTGGAACAACCTATTGCATTGTTCATTGCAAGTCCACAGAATGAGCTGTACCCTTGAACTTGCATACACTCCTGACTGCCATTGTTGCTACTTAGGTGCACTTGGCTCTGTACATCTTTATTTGCATGCTTGTCAATAATCTTTAAAAAGTACCTCAAGTTACTTCTTTCTGTGGCATTATCTTGAGAAGGATTTATGGCTGCAAGAAAGCCCTTCAAGGGCATTACAAACTTGGCCAGTTCACTGCAATAAGGATCAATGTTCTCTAGATGTTGCTGACACTTGTCCTTCAACTCAGCTAGCTTCCATAGCATTCCTTGATTGCTTCCTGGCATGAACAGCAATGATGTGGATGGCTCACCAAGGGTGACTTCATGGGTTTTCAGACTTCCTTGGGGTGTACTGCATCTGTTGGATCCAACATCAACATTTACATCATTTGTATGGTCAAGCAGATCATCCTTATTGAACACTGGCTCATCAACACCGACTTGGGTGCTGGGTCTTTTGATACTATCTTTATCATGGCATGAAGTACTAGCCTCAGTTGTACGGCTACTTAACAGAAGGGTTTCCTTTGGAGCTGTCTGAGATGTTTTCATTATACTATCATCAGATGGTACAATGCAACCATCTATTGTTACACAGAAGAGCCCACAGTTAACAGCCATCTGAAGCACAAGATTCTGGCAGCAGGGATGAAAGCATGGAGTTTCTTTTTGCTCTCCAACACATGACAAGCAGTCAGAGTGTTCCTTGTAACTGGTGAGATGACTTAGAATTGACTTTCCCAGGTTTTGCTTTCTGTCTCTCTCCCAAAAGATTGTACCATAGCGAAAGTACTGAAAACCCGAAGCCTGTAAAGTTTGAAGGCCAGTTACAAACTTCTGGTGAAACACAGTTTCTTCTTCCTCTCTGTCCTCTCTCTTCTCCTCAGAAAACGACGATACCATGGCAAGGAGTTCATAATCCAGAACCTGACAATAACTCTTCAACAAATTATCAATACTTCTATGGTGAGCCACTTTCCTCAACCTTAGACTTCGATTATACATCTCCTTACGCACAGTTAGGCCAAACTCTGAAATGAAATTGTGCATATTCAGCAAAGATAACTTGGGGGGTGTTTCACAAAGGGGAAGTTCACACTGCTTTTCCTTGAACAAAACCATCTGGCCGCCAAAAATGGATTTAACTACTAATTGCTCTCCACATTCTATCTCCACCTTGAACATTCCTCCAGGACGCACCAATTTGATGACCCCCAGAACATTCAAGGGCTGAAAGGGATCCGGCTTTGAAAAATGCAACCCTTCTGAACGTGGATTTTGGAAGAGAACTTTGTCTCCCACCTTATATTCCCGCTCTTTAGCCCTCTTAAGAGCCCGTTTGTGATTCTTTTGAATGGTGTGTTCTGTTGCTTCAAGGACATCCACCATCTCAGATTTGTATTCTTCACTCAAGTTGAAGAGGTATTTCGTTATGCTCTCTACCTGGAATTCTGCCTCTGAATCCACTGATTGAAGTGGGATATTGTTGTGACTGTGAGAAGGTGGAGAATGTGAATTTCCTTGCACTATCTTCTTAACAGCTGCTGACAGCTGCTTAGCTGAAACACCCAATGAGGACAATAATATGGTCTCAGAAGAAATTTGCAGGATGGCCTCTGTTATCTCTTCTAATTTAGATTTATCCATGGAAGTACTTTCCCCATGTCTCTCAAGTTCAATGAAATCTTCTGATGAAAATTCATAATCCTCAAGGCAACCATCTTCAATGCTTTCTGTCCACATACTATCATCTGGGATGATGAAGTCCACCAAGTAGGAAGGCTCACGGTTCTTATATATTCAAAAAGGCACATCATTAATTGTGCTGTGCCACTTTAAATTCAAAAGGTCTGCAATAGCAGAGAGTAGTAAAGGCCAGACATTGGCCTGAAGATCTCTAGGCAACTGTTGTAAAAACCTTGCAAGTAAGCTTTTGACTTGCTTGTTGAGATTTTCTATCTGGCCTTGAGACTGTGGGTGGTGCAGCCTACCATGAACCATGCAAACTTCAAATTCTTTGCAAAGTTTTTGCACTACCTCTCCAATGAATTCACCGCCATTATGTGACTGAATTACAGTAGGTGACCCTTCCTTGATGAACAAGGCCTTCAGAACGGCATACACTTCTTCTGCAGACTTTGTTTTTAATGGGAACAGCCAACAAAACTTCGAGAAACAGCACTTGACTGTTAGAATGTAACGGTAGCTCCAACAATTATTCTGCATAAAACTACGGTGCTTCCTTGGGGCCATGTCAATAAGGTCACACTGTAGTCTGGAATGGGGGCGAAAAGATCTAATAGGGACAGGAGGGGGAAGCACTCGCATTGGCAAGGGGTTGTTGACCTGACATGTTGAGCATCGAGCCAAGAAGGCCCTAATAAGGTTGAAAATACCCTTAAATACATATTTTTGATTGAATAGCCTACTCAAGGCATTCACCGCTCCAGGGAGGCAAGTATCCTCTCCAAGGACACCTTTAATGTAGTGTAAACTGCTTAATACACCATCTACAGCCTCTCTGTAGAGAAGTTGCTTTGTAGTCTTAAGCTCTCCTTGAACATAACTGTTGACCAAAACAACAAGGATGCCATTTTTGTCATGGACAATCTTACCTTCTTGGTCAAGTTTTAGTGTGTAGACTGGTCTTTTCAGGCTACGTCGTTCAAAAAATCGTCTTTTATACTGATTAAAGAGAGCATTTAAGTTTTCATTCTTCTCTGAAGAAATACCATCTTTTGGGAAAGATGTATATCCTGGAGTACAATACAAAACTGTATCTGCCAGTTTTTCATAAAAATATTTCTGGCATCCATCGAAGCTACAATCTGCTAAATAAAATATAGTATTTGTGAATAAGTAATAGTTATAGAAGATTGCTACCTTTAACATACATTTATTGATTAACTCTTTACACCCTAACATCAGTATGCATATTCTTCATACTGTTCTCTATACATTTCCTGAAGCCCTGACAAAGAGAGTTTTTATAAAAATCAAGAGCTTTATAAATTGTTGGTCATTTCCTTTATTCTCATGAACTCAATGTTTGATTCAGGGGTGATATTGTAAGGAGAAATTAGAAGCTGGTCAC